AGACACCTAGTAGTTTTTGGGCTGCTGATTGTTCTTATGTGAACCTTTTCAACTCTCAATCCTCTTAACAAGTTGTTAAAATACTGGTTTAACACTCGATGACAATTTTGATGGTATCTTATTCCTATAGCTTAGCCCTTATGGTGATTTTCTACTGTTTTGATCATTTAAATTATGTTGGACTGGAATGTGACAAGAGGAAATGATATTTAATTGTAACTAGTAGCAACCGGAACTACAGATCAGAGTTTGTGGAAGGGTAGGACTGATGAGGGGATAACAACTCTGCATGTAAGTGCGAACAAGGTATCTTCCATATTAAGCTATAATTGCTAACTGTAGTAGAAGAAAATTTATTCTGTTTGCCTACAACAACAACCAAGCCTTCTACCACTAGGTGAGGTCTACTTTGGTATTTTGCAGCACAAAAATTTTGTGAAGAAAACTAGGGAAATGCTAAGAACCAGAGAGCTTCAAATGGCAATTAACCAGGGAATGATCCATCAATGAAGAGCCATTCAAGTGATCAAAGCTGAATGCATGAAAGTATGCAAGTAACAGAGGGAAGAGAAAAGAGATGTATTTTGATATCAGTGATTATTGATTAGTTCTCTTTTATTATTCTAAATATGAGCTGCCATATAAAACAACTGTTTTGCCTTCAGTTTCAACAGCAGCTGGGCCAAATAATGAGGTCCAGTCTTCACCCAGGACCACGAGAATGAGGAAAAAGAAGCTAGTTCTAGGCCTAATAGAGTGACTAAAAGGCCCAATGACTGGGGATTCTATGTCCATTAGAATGAAACTCAATGTCCTGAAATTCATAGGGATTCATAGGGATGTCTAGATATTTGCTAGAAATAGTTTTTTGTTAGCTGTTTGTTGTTTGTTATACTATTGAGAGTTTTGTTATATAAACCTTTGTGGTAAATCAATGAAGGATATTAGAGTATCAATTTTCTTTTTCCTCTCTTAGCATTTTTTTAGGAGGTTGGTTCTATCTCTAAATAGAGCTATTATCTCCATCCTCAACACGAAGTACTGGAAGGAAAAATAGAGGATAACAGCATTGCTGACTTGACGAAAGCTAGAAGGTTTCCGAACCAAAGAGCTGAATATAACATAATGTATTATTTTTCTTATAATCCATATAACCAACCTAATTAATATTTTGTTCAGAGTCTAATAAACTTCTGCTATATAGGGCTCCTCACCACTGAGCATTTACATGCAAGGGATTATCAGTAGTTTTTCTCACTGCTAAGGTTTTGTGATTAGCATACAGAGAACAACTGAGGCAATCAAAAGAAGATGCTGTTATTTGGACTCAACTTCTGGTTCCGCCCAAAAATTACATGCAGATTGCATTGTAATGTAATGAACAGTAACAAGATATTAACGGGAATCCAAATGAAAGAAAAATCTATGTTTGACTTCTGTTATATACTTTTGAAGATTTTCTTATGATATGCCTTTGGGATATGCCTCTGTTAACCTGCTAGACAAACAAAATTGCTATTTTCTGAAATCCACATATGCACAAAGGTAGGAAAGAATGTTGAGTGAACAATTATGATATGTTTGCAAGTTAAAAGTTTTTATAAGTTATTTTCAATTTTGTACTATACTTTATAAAAATGATTATTTTTAACTTATTTCAATATATTTTATAATTAAATTTATGCATAAATAATAGTTTAAATAAAGTATATTAAACAAGCGTTTATCCAAATGTACTCTATGCATTATGTGATTGGGTTTATAAAAATATAGATTGTAGACAAATATATTGTCGTGTCAACTCTTTTTATTGTCCACATGCAAGTGTTCCTAATTGGAAAACATGTTTATTAGTAGATCATGCCAGCCAAGTTCAATCGGGCTGACGCTAAATCTCTCTAATTTATAATTTTTAAACTTTCGTTTATTTAGGACATAGTGTGAGAGAGCCGTTTCTCCTTTTTCCAGAAATCAAATTGAGTTTTAGAAAATAACCTTTTGAATTATTTTTAGAAAACAATTTATATAGCAATTACGTGAAGATATGTCACGTTTTAAGATAAAAGTTCTGTTAAGAACATTATAAAATTTAGTATTTGTTGATAATCTTATTAATAACTGACAAGTGTAGTTCTAATCACGCATCATCCTTTGAATAGGTAGCATAAGCTAGGAATTTAGGAAACGCGCCTTGCTTTATATTTTGGTCAAGGGAAACGCGTCTTGCTAAACAGAAATATGTACGCCTCTCATTCAGATTTATAGTATTGGGTTCGTACCGAAAAAAAGAAGGAAGAAAACCGTTTAACAGATTGATAAAACTGCTAAGTTTACACGCTACACGCATACATACGAAGGGAGAGAGATAATTGTAGTTGTATAATTCACGTATAAATACAATGCAATGGATAAAGTATCTATAGAATCCAACTCACTTTATATATATATATATATAAAAAGTGAGTTATATGTGAAATTATATAAAATTAATATAAAAATATATTCAGTAATAAAATAAATTAAAAAAATTATTTTAATTCATAGAAAAATTTATTTACTATTTTATATAATTTAATTATTATATAGTTGATGTAAGATTAATTCTTTTTTAAAAACTTACTTACATCTAATACACATACAGAATATTTTTAACATAAATATTTTTTTAATAAAATAAATAATAAATATATTATAAATTTTATAATTATCTACTATTATTATAAATTTATTATTTATTAATAATATTTAAATTTTATTTTTTATATTTTAATTTAAAATAATAATTTTTTATATAACATGTGCGTTACTAACATAACTATAATATATTAAATTTAAATAATATTATTGTTATTATTTATTTACATTTAAAGAAGTTTTTGAGAAGATATAAAATATAAAAATTATTGTTAATTTTTATTTATGTTATTTTTACTAAGTTTATTATATATTTTTATTACAATTTACTTATTAAATAATTTTTCTTTAAATAAAAAGTATAATTTTTTTTATATACAGATATATTTTTTTATTATAAAATATTATTGTGACTATTTGTTTTTTATTCAAATTTTTTCTTTTAAAATTTATATATTATAAATATTTAATTCATTAAAATAATTTTTTTAAAAATTTATATTTTTGACAAAATACTTTTTATGAGTTAAAAATATTAGTATTAATATATATATATATATATATTATTAATTATATTATATTATTTTAATTAAATCTATTATTTTTCTTACAATTTCATATTCAAAAGTTTAAAAAAAATATGTTGTGTCAATTTTTAGTTATTGTTTAGTACTTGAGCTTCTTTACTCTAATCTTACTCTTATTCTTAATGTATGTGTCATTCAAATTTATTGTAACAATCATGAATTGTTAAAGTTAGTTGTCAATGTTGCTTGTAGTTTTTAAGAATTATAGTTTAAAAAACTATTGTATTAAGATACATTTATTACTTGTAATTTTTAAATATTTATTTTTTATTTATGTTTGTACCTTATTTGACAATTACTTATTAAATTTTTGTATTATTATGCTACTTATGTGAAGTTATATAAATATATATTTTTTTTATAAATATTTTTTTCTAAATAAGCACAGATATAGGTATGGATATATGAGTACTCAAAAAGTACAAGTATAAAAATTAATATTACTATCTATATGAATATGGGGCTAAATACAATTTTTTTTTTAAATGCAAGTATAAGAATAAATATTATAGTAAACTCTGCTCATACCTTGTCTATTTCTATTCCTAATTTACTGGTAAAAAATATTTGTATTTTCACTCCATGAATATTATATACCACCTAACTAGCCTGGTTAAATGAATAATTGTAACAAAATCACATAGTGAAACAAAACAAAGGAGAAATTTTAAAATAATGTAGACAAACATAATAATTATGAATGGTAGCATTAGGCCAATAAGATTCAACGAGCACAATAATTGAAGGCATGTATGTTTTTTAATTAAAACTCTTTTATGATGTAGTTCTCTTTATAACCCTTCTGCATAAGCTTTTTTTTTTTTTTTTTTCCAAATCACAAAAAGCATTTTATAATTGTATCTCCGCCGAGTTTTTTTTTCCAAAAAATATAATTATTTTAAAATCTTTAAATTCAATAGCATTTTCCTTAAATATTACAAAGAAATAGGCTCCAAAATGAACAACGCATTCCGAAAAATGTATGATATCAAAGAGAAATCCTTATATATTACTATTAGATGTTTATCAATTTTGTTGTTAAGAAACGAATCGAGGAATCAACAATAAAGAGAGTGAGAAATGAAACGTGCATTAGATGTAACTTTTAAAAGTTTAGAAGTAAATTGTGAGATTAGCCTTTAAGATCGAATGATTCAGAAATTTTAGTCATTTGAAATTTAAAATATTCTTTGTTTTTATCTGAAATTATAAAAGTAATTCATTTTTATTTTTTAATACTATTAATTATTATTTTAATATTATTAGTTAAAAAATATACAAATAATAAAATATTTGATAAAAATACATTGAAATGTATTAATATATATATATATATATATATGCTCCAGCAAGAATTAAACTCACTAAAGTGATATAACTAAACGAAAGACTAAGTAAAAAAAAATAATTTAAATTTTAAAGTTTAAAAATTAAAATATCAAACTCTTATAATTGTAAGGACTAAGTTAAGATTAATATTAACCTCAATATTTAAGATTGAGACTAAGTAACAACAATAATAATATTTATTATTATTTTATTTATTTAAAATAAGACATATTTTTTAAGTAAAAGGTATTATTTATTGATACTTAAATTTATTCTTAAATATTAAGATTAATTTAAATATATTCTGAAAAAAGAGTTGCTTTTGAGAAGAGAAAGAAGGGGGGAGCTGGATGTAAATACCAAAAACAGAGCCCCTTTAAGAAAAAGGAAGAGTTTTATGAAGCAGGATAAAGGCACACGCAGCGTTCTGGGAAGTGGGAAGCTAACTAAACTACAGGGTACAAAAAAAGCAGAGCTACGCTAAGTGCAATCTGAAACGCTCTAAATCCACTTTTCCTTGATGTAGATAATAGATTCCTCTTTTGCTTCTGCGTTCTCAACTCGTTTTCTCAACTCAACAACCACTCGCCCGACTCCAAGCCCAAGCCGAAACTCTTGCTCATGGCCAATAACCCTTCCGACACTCCCGCCGACGACTTCTTCGAACAAATCCTTGGCCTCCCGACCTTCGCTTCCGCCGACTCCGGCTTGGCTGCCGCCGATGTAGGCTTGGCCGGTACGGCTTCTCCGGCTCCGATGATGCTGCAGCTTAACTCCGCCGATGCCAACCCTCACCTCGCCGCCGGCGCTGCCTTTCATGCGCCCGTTTATCAGTTAGGGTTGAGCTTGGACCAAGGCAAAGGAGGCTTCATGAAGCCCGAGGATGCCTCTGCCAGCGGGAAGCGCTTTCGCGACGACGTCGTGGATGGCAGAGCTAAGAATGTAATACCAGCTTTTCCGATTCTTTTTGGATATGATCTTCAATTGAAATTGAGCTTTTTGCTTCGATTGTTTGAGTGTGGTATGAGAGTTTGTTTCGGGAAGTGGTGTTATATTGTTAGAATTACTCTAATTGCTGGTTCAAATTACCACCATTACAGAGCATGTGTGAAGCAAACAATTCATTTTATAAGTTGATGAAAATAACAACTAGTAGTGGAGTTGTAATTTTTTCGCGAATAGAGGTATCTCAAAAATGAGAATCTTCAACTTTCATGTTCAGTTTTATTACGTGTGTGCTTGTTGATGCCAGCCAACTTGCTATACGCACATCAATATCATGTCTTGCAGAAATTGTGTGAATCATCATTCTGGACTTAGGAGATGACTTGAAAGACAAGTTCTGGAAATTGGCATGAAGCATAAGAATACTTGTTTGAGATTAATGAACTATGCATGTGGATTAGGGGTTAGGTCTGGATTGTATTAGATTGGAGTTCAAATGTAAGTGACCTGTTGGAAGTGTTATACTTGTCATGGATTGGTTAAAGTTATTTATGTCTCTGAGTCGGGCAGCACTAATCGTTGCTTTTCTGTGATATTTGAACCTCTTAAATCATATAGGATATATATCCTTGACCTTGAGTAGTCCTTGAATAGATGTTTTCTTGTAATAAGAGTCTTATTTTTTTTTTTCCCCAATTTTTATTCTTATTGAATGATTCTGCTTTTGGGAGGGCAGAGGGGGAGTTGATTAAGTAGCTATTTTTCTCCTGTTGATAGTTCATAACCTTCTTGCAGGTTTTTCATGGGCAACCCATGCCAACAACTATGCCTGCTGCTCCACATCCTCCAGCAATACGTCCCAGGGTGCGGGCTAGAAGAGGACAGGCTACAGATCCACACAGCATAGCTGAACGGGTGAGCTTCCACGTATTTGCATGAATACAGACTGTTTGCATTAAACTGGGGTTAAGTTGGTAGCTCATTTTCTCTAGTCTCCATGTTACACTTTGATTACAGTTACGCAGAGAAAGAATAGCAGAAAGAATCAGGGCATTGCAAGAACTGGTTCCAAGTGTCAACAAGGTATGTGATTTCTCTTGCATGTCCCTCTATTACAAAATGTGGTCTTGCTTTTGTCTTCTAGCAAATGGAATTTTGAAAGGTAAAGGTTTTATCATTATGTCGTGTAACTTGAATACTTAGAAAAGATACAGAGTATCAAGTTGACATTTACAGAAGATGTGTATCTATTATTCTTCCCTCCACTTTGCAGCTTGTTGACTTGATAATAATTTGCAGTTTGTGATCAATTTGTGTATAGGTAGATTCATATCTTGTGAATAAAAGTGGTGATAATCCACAATCATTCCAAAAAACAAAAGTAGTGCTAAAAATGGACCTTTTCAAGGGTTGCTTATGACTGATCTGTCTTCTTTCTTGGTAGATATTGTTCGTTACATACTTTTCTAGCCCCACACCTTCTTCACTGACACTGTTCCCTTCATACATTGTGTCTATCTTTTACAATACACACTCAATAGAGCAGATGCCATTACACATGTAATTGTATATGAACATTTACGTTTTACAGAACAGTTTGTTCTTTTTATTTCTAAATATAGTATAAAGTTATTCTATATTTAGAAAAAAAAATAAAAAACTCTTTTTAAAAGAGAAATCAAACATACCCTAAATATTTTAACACTTCTCATCAAGTTACTGTTTTTTCTATTATACGCGAGGCCTAATTAAAATAATGAGTCTGTTGAAGCTGAAACAATTTTTTTACAGTATGTGGTGCTTGCCTGAATCCATTGTGTAGTTTAAAGGGAAAATTTCTTGATACCTCTTCCTTCTTTCCCTGCATTTTTTACTCCCGTTCGTTTTAAGAATATATTAAATGGAAGTACATATGGGAGGATTATTGATTCATGCTCAGTATTCTGTCTTTTCCTGTCAATATAGTTAATAAAGCCATAGATTTTATCTTTGGGGCTTTATATATACAAAATTTATGCAGACAGTTTTTTAGTGCCATCTCAAAACTGATTTTTGCAAATTTATACAACATGACATCTGCATGTAGGCCCATTGAATTCTCAAATTGGTTATGCATTGAGTTTGTCAACTTCTATACAAAATCCACTGATCCATTTTTTATGCATTGTTTATTAGAGTATAATTGATCAAGGAGAATTTGCTTCTTATAATAGGGTAAACAAATAGAATAATGCCTGCATATATGATGTATCCTGATTTGGTATGCATGAAATTTTAATAATGCTCAAGTATCAAATAAATCTACTGAATTTCAAAGCTTGCTGTTTTGTATAATATGTGTGATTGCTGTGTTGTTTTGCTGCATGACTGCTCGGTGTTTGTAAATAAAAGATAATACTGATGGATTATTCAATTCTTTCTAATATATGGGGCATTTCTACTTTGTTCAGACAGATAGAGCTGCCATGTTAGATGAGATTGTGGATTATGTCAAATTCTTAAGGCTTCAAGTGAAGGTAAAATGCTAGGCTCCTCATTGGTCATGCTTTTATTTTCCTAGTTAGGTCTCAAATAGTAATGAATGGGGGCCTTTCATAGTTTTGTGGGTATTGCCTGTTAAATCTGTTAACCTATTTGTTTTCATCCCCACCCCACTGAGGTCAATTAGTTAGGATTCAACTCATGATCATGAACCCCACAAAAGGGTGGTTGCCATTTACCACTTTGGATGAGAACCCATTGGCCAACGTTTTTCATTCCTGGAGACTAGGGAATGTATAAATACAGTCAAATGCATTTTCAGACTGCTTAATGCTCTGTAGTTAATTTTAACCATTCAATAATGTTTAAGGGTCTTCTGTTGGAATACATATTGCTGTTTGAGTCATAAAATCTATATAAAAGCAAAAGGCTCCCCTGTCTAAATTTGAATTTGTAGCAGTGTGAAATTAAGAGTGCAAATGACTTCATTGACTGAATTCGTATGCCTTTCAGGTTTTGAGCATGAGTAGATTGGGTGGAGCCGGTGCAGTGGCACCACTGGTAACTGACATCCCATTATCATCAGTTGAGGTGATTATTGAGAAGAAATAGTTTGATTTTTTTAAAATCTCTTCAAGTGATCTAACAAATTTAGTGGTGATCAGGAAGAAGGTGGTGAAGGTGCAAGAAACAGACCAGCTTGGGACAAGTGGTCAAATGATGGCACAGAAAGACAGGTAGCTAAGCTTATGGAAGAAAATGTTGGGGCTGCCATGCAATTTCTTCAATCAAAGGCACTCTGCATAATGCCCATCTCACTGGCTTCGGCAATATACCAGTCACAACCACCAGACACTTCTAGCATAGTCAAGCCTGAAACTAATCCTCCTTCATAGACCTCAGGCACATGTTGCACAATCTATTGGTCCCGTCACGGGCTCACCTAATACTGCTGGGACCCACGAGTTATTTATCTGTTCCAAACCCCCATAATTAAGTCATTGGCAAGCATCAAGTTGCAATCAAAGTCAGATGCCATAATTCTTCCTTTTCTGCCTTTCTTTCAGCTTTTGTCAATACAGGATTCGATGTTAATGCCTTATAAAATACAAGCAGACCCCTATCTTGTCTTGCCAAGTATCAAGTAGAGAAGAAGAAATTGTCAAAAATTGAATTGATATGCTCTTCTCTTTTTGTGCAATGGGTGGGGGTAGTGGACCATGATGTAAGCGCTTTTATAGTGGGGCTTAGTTTTTGTAGTGGGCTGTGGGACCTTGTAAAAGGTTAGAGTGGTGTGTATACTTTTAATAGTGAAGCTGAAATGGGTAATAGTTACTTTAAGAGTGCTGGGCGTTGCCGAGTCCTGCAAAATATGATGGTGCTTTTTGTTTGTTTAGGGCGTGCGTGAGTTGTTTACTCAAAAGCATTTGGATGACTTTTTCCTATTCTCCTGAATCATTATTAGTTTTTGATTTATCAAATGGAATGGAAGGACATGCGTGGTGCTCCTTTCTTCCAATCAGTTAGCCGTAACCTTATTCAACTCAAGTGACTAGTCTCTGAACTCATCTATGTACGGTTCAGGAATGGTTTGCTAATTACTAATTGGAACATGTCACTTCCTTTCGAGAGGGAATCTTGCGTTAAATAACCTCATTTTCTTGGGTTGATGTCACGGGATTTAATTTCTATTTCATACTCACAAATTGATAATCGCATGTCCTTTTTATGCCTTAAATACTCCTTTTGTTTGAGGAATAATGTCACGTGCACTTTACTTTCTACCTAACCTCTTTTGAGAATTTGAGACAACAAAATCAGTCCAAGTATATGGAAAATTATATGACATCAATTATAATTACTTGATAGAAGTTGCTTCTTACCTTGGGTAACAGAATCTCCCATGCATATATATAGAATGATTTCTAGTCGTTTGTTAGAATTTTTTTTCTTAAAAGAAATTTTTTAATTAAAATATGTTTAAAATTATAATAATTATCTGTATTTTAAAGTGAAACTTAAGGAAAAAATGACTTATTGCCTATTATAGATTTTTTTCAAGCTTAAACAAGACTTCCCTGACTATTTCAGCATAAATTTTGCAGCCCAAGATTGAATAGATAAAGAGTTCGCAGTGGAGCTTCAATATGTACGGATCCCTCAAAGCTATTTCCAACAAATCGGTGAGATAATGTTTAGTAAGACAACAGGCAAAGCGCTAGGGAAAAGTCCATAGCTCGTAAGTTGTCACAATAACCATTAACCAAGTGAATGTATCCCATTTCGGTTACATGTAAGAGATTCCTGTTTCTGTTCCCTTAAAATGAGTAGGAGTACTATACTGACCAAACAGCATATAGTTATTGGTTACGTTGGATACATTAAAGCAAACGAAAAAGAAAAGATAAAGTACACCAAAAAAATAAAAATGATAAAAAGAGTCAGAAGTTGAAGATTGTGTAGTGTCCCTCAAAGAGAACAGCAGTGGGAATTTTTGGATATTCATATCCACAAAAGTTGAGAATTCCCCACTATTTTTCTACTGCTGCCCGGCCACTCACCATTACTGTACAATTGGTGTACCTTCATTCATTCATTCGCACTTCGTGGCCTGCTGCCTCACATTAAAATTAGACACCTAACTCCCCATTGCACGTGTCAACCCACATAACCGTCATAATTTATTTTGGTCATCATAACTACCATAAATTGAACTTCACATTAGTTTCAGCATTAACATATATGGAAAATGTTAATTGGTTAAGACACTAAAAGTTAAAAAGATTTTATCAAAAAAATTTATTGATACACTTGTATTTTATATGCACTTTTATCATATTTTTTTATCATTTAATTCTTTAATCAATACACTTCTCCATTATAAATCTCGCACTCACAGCATCAACAACAATATACCAAAAGCAACGGTTCATGAATAGGTGACTGACAAAAAAGACTTGTTTTTGTGAATATTTCAAAACGACTCTTTCATTTCAAACATATTCCAAAATAAAAGTAGACTTTTTAAATGGGTCCAAGGCTTGGACCCTCTTAGAAAGCCCATATCAAACACGGGCTCCCACTAAACAATCTCATAGAAATGGGCCTCGATCAACATTCAGCAAAGGACAAAGATTTGAACTAGTTGCGAAGGAAGAACTGAACCCAAAAGAAGAAAAAACTGGAAATGCTCCAGTTCCAATGCCACTCCAGCATCCTCATACTTCATTCACCTTCACTTTTTTTTACTTTGCTTAACTCTTTGTTTCCATTGAAAAATTAAGAGCATGTTAAGACTTTTTTTCCTCCCTCGTTGATTAACTTTTTCACAAGTTGGTTTGCCTTACCAAATGGGCAATTACAAAATGTGCACGAAGGAAAGCAACGTGTTATTGTGTGTTTCCCAACACGAGAAAGGAATATTTGAAGGGTGTACGTGATGTTTCTGTAAATGAATAAGCACAATTATGTCTGTCTCGTTATACTTTTTGCTTTTTGGCTCACAAAGCGCAATGAGTTGGGGAAATCGATCCCCGTGACTGAAAACCTCATGTCAAGAGAGAGATAATTACATACAAGTTAAATAGGTCACGGGAAAGACCTTATTGTACTAATCAAAGAGGTTAACTTGGGTTCTATATATTTTTCTTTTATCTTTCTAACAGTACCTTTGGACTATGCTATTCCTAGTTAATTTGTGTTATCTTCTTTCTTTTGGGGGCAATTCCTCTGGTTAAAATCGTGAAACGTGTCTACATTTTACTATTTTAGAAAAAAAGAAAAGCAAAAAAGTCAAAGATGCCAGTTTTTAGGACATTTAGGATTAATTTGACATTTTGGGGTGAGCTAGTGCATGTTGCTTTTCACTGTGTAGGGAAAGGGCACCAAATTTATGGCTTTGGTAGCTAGATAACATATGTATGTGCTTGAGCCAGCTTTTGAAATTAATTTTGGTAACAAATTTATGGTTTTGTAAAATTCATTTTGGTTTCAATTGAGAATGAAGTAAAACACTCTGTTTAAAAAATAAAAAATAAAAAACATGCTTGTAGTAATATTTAGTACAAAATTTTCATTCAAGGGTAAAAGTTATCCTAAAGTTGCTTTTTCTCATAATTAAAATTTAGACTCTTAATTAAAAAATAGACAAAAGCACGTGTGATATGCCAACCCATGTTAAAGGACATTGCGTGTGGAACCAGAACCAGACATACAAACAGATGAAAGTGACGGAGGGAAACCACAAACCTAGGCCTTTTCAACTAAGTATTTATTCATGAAAATATTTTTTATGAAGTTTGAGTATTTCTTTTTTGATAAATTAGCTTTTAATTGAATTAAATCTTATAATTGAATAGTCTTTTAATTGCAAATGTGTGATTCCCCCTTTTCTTTAATTTGATTTTACTATTCCTTCTTCAAATTGAACTCAATAGATGAGTTCCATTGATACGATTCTGTTGGCAGTGTCCTTGAATGGTCACGAGTCTGATTCCATGATGACAATGGAATATAGTGTCGACTTCACTGGTTTCTTTCAACCAAATATCTTACCCATTTTATTTATTATTGTTATTCGGGTATAAAAGGGAGCTTATTACTGGTTCCATGAAAGAAACATGGCAATCATTCGCGTGGGACTAACAAGGTAAATCGTTCATTAAAATTGTAGATAAAGAAAGGGTGAATATTTAGCTGTAAAGTTTGTAAAGCTATTTCCTTGGGGAATCAAATAGTGGTTTTAGCTATTATACCTCTGTTTGTTGATTATTGGTATTGAATTTGGAATCACTTCTCCCTGACACCTATATGGCATCAACTATCACATTGGCCAGAATAGCTTTCTATCCAAATCATAATCATAATAATAAACATAGCAGATTGATATCTTAGGCTCCTACCTTCTCATGTCCTTCCATTTCTTTACGCGTTTGTTAGATGACTATGACACTCTTACAACTCTGTCCCTTGTTGCTATCTTCTCCATTTAGCATTTTAACTTAATTTACATAATTTAAGTTTTAAAAAATTAAATAAAATACTTTAAAAAACATAAATTAATTTTAATTTATAAGAGAAATATAATATATTTTTATTTTTCATAAATATTTGTTAAAAAAATTATTTAATTTTAACTTATATTTAGTTTGTAATTTATTTTATGGTTGTGGCTCAATATCTAAGTTAAAAATGAGAAATGTGGCTTGATGTTATGGTATTTTTGAAGATAATTTTATTTGAGTTAAACAAGATTACTCGAATAAGATAATTATAAATAATAATTTTTTTAATATTTAATATAATTATATTTTTAAATTCAAAATTAAAATTTAAATTAGAATAACTTGTAAAAGCTTATCTACGTACTAATAATTCAAGTAAGCTTCCCACGTGATTTTTGGAAACCCATAAAACTATCTTATACTTTTCAACATCCTGTGTTGTTGAACAAACAAAATAATGTTATGAAATTGGTGAAAAAATAACATCTCGTGATATTTGCAGCGGAACCAAATATCCTCATTTTATTTTATTTTTTAGTGAGTTGATTTTTTAATTTTGCCAAAATAATAAAATATTATTTTTGATACTATCTTGTCCAGGACCCTTTTAAAGGTCTAGGCCCAGTACACAATGGGTCAGGTCATCTAAGTTGACCCGAACTTGGATTATCGTCTAAGGGGAAGACCTTAAAAGGCATTTCAAATTTCAAGATGTTATGGCTTTTGACATCTTCTCTGCAAGGGATGCTTGGCTCAGGTTCATACATAACCGATAATAAAAGGACAAATTCTAATAATTAATTTTAATAATAAATAATTAAATTAAAATTATATTATTTATATAATAAATATTTAAATTTGTTTATAATATTATTTTTTTGTTAGATTACTTGTTTTCTATTTTTTATATTATTATAAAATTTACCTAGTTGACAAGATTCTAAATTATTATGAAGCTAGTTTAAAAAGTTTATAAATAACGTATGAAAATAGTTTATATATTTTTATTTTAATTTAATAATTTTTTAAACATAATTTATCAAAGTAAGTGTTTTTAACTTATCTTATTAAATTTTATGATTAAATATATAACATAAATTATCATTTAAAAGAGCCTGTTAAATAAGTATTTACATAAATTATATATCTAAACACACTTTGTAGTTGATAAAATTCATAATTTTATACAAATATTTTCTTGCATATATATATATATATAATTTTATGTTCTTTATTACACTTATTATTTTCTCTATTTTTTTCCTTCTACCTATTTTACATCCCAAAATGGGGGTGTGAATCACTCAAGCTGTAAACTTGTATTTGTATGATTATCTTTCAATTATTAGAAAAGGTCAATCATGTCTTGATTATTCTCTCTCTCACTTTATATATATATTAACAAGAGGAGTAAATATTAATCTTAAACAAACAAAATTAAAATATAACAGACATTTAAATTTTTTAAGTTGTTGTATAATTTTTTAAAATAAATGTTATTAAGACTTTAATTTTACCTGTGAATGTATGATTATATCGTATAAATTTACTCCTGTTACTTTCATCTTACTTTATTTTTCATCTAAAATTCATCAAAACATATATGTAACCAAGTTTTTGAATGAAAATCTAAAATTGTAAAGGAGGTTAAAGGCCTTGAAATTTGAGGGCCTTCGCTTGAAATTATTAAAATGGCACTAGCTTTCGAATTTGTTATGGCGTTAACTAATTAATATATTCGGACAAAGAATTATTGCTTCACTTGATATCTCTCCATGTTAGTGGGTCATCCACTCACACTGGTCGATGATTTCTCAATATTCTTATGGGAGATTTGACGCCAGTTTAAAGAGTACTTTGTTCTTTTCGTGTCATCTTTAACATCAATGTTTGTTCCAAAATCTAGTAATTAACAACAAATTTCCGAAATCAAATCTCAGATTTCCCTTACTTTACCACTAGACATCAAACTAAAAAAAAAATTTATACATAACAAATATATAGCTTCATCGAATCAAAATAAGAATAAAAAACAGAAAGAGATCCGATTGCTTGAACATAAACAGATCCAGCTGGAACAAAATGATATTATTATAATATTCTCTGTACAATTGAAAATTACTATTAGCCTTTCTTATATTTTCTTTCTCTTTCTATTTGTTTTCCATTCCGATTTTAGAAGACTATATATAATTAAGGAAGCAGGCCTCTATTAAAATCAATAAGGGAAAATTAATGTATAAATATACATCTCTCTTTCTGATAAGCTATATATAAACTTCTCAGAGAACAGGTTCTTGCTTTGCACAGCACCAGAAAACAACACAAAGGTATTATTGTCTTTGATGATCACTGTGCTTTTCTTCATGCTTTTGTGCAATCCTGCTTTTGCTTTTATTAATTCTGCGGTCATGAACAACCCAACCCCTTTGCTTCTGATCCTTTGATTATTCTCAGTCTCTTGCAGGAGGACACAAACATGCTGCAATTAACATAAGCCAAAAACAGTTTTATAAGATGGAGAATTACATCAAAAAATATTTACTGCAGAGAACATATAATAAAAATTAATTAATAAATTATAACATAAACGAAATACAACAAAAAGAAGATAATCATGTTATTAAGAGGATCAGGGGAAGAACTTACTTCCATGGAACATCTCCAACAAGCATCCAATCACCATCCTTGTCCTCATAAGTAGGAGCGTATTCAGATCCATTGTAACCTTCCCTTTCTGAATATTCACCTGGATCAAATTAACCACATATCATTATTCATCAGCCCAAATTCCCACCTTATTTCTTAATAATTAGAAGTAATACTAAATCTTGTGTAAAAAAAAAAAGATTTGTTGTTTTGTTCGTAGTCCTTACCGAATGTGCACTTGAACATATTTTCCAAGGCTTTGAGTAGTTCTGCGTAGGTCTCGTAAACCTTGAGATCTATCTTCCTCAAGTAAGGTGCACCAGCCATGCTCACTTTCACGTACATTCCAGCTCCATCACCTTGTTCCACCTTCTTCTGTTGTAAACTATTCTTCCTAAAAGATCTGATTGGTGGCCATCCCACTACTTGAACCCTGCCATCCATTATTTTTCATTCATTATTAACTTTTCATCCATTAAATCCTTCAAAGAAAAAGAAAATATATTTAACACTTACTTTGCAGGTTGGACACTGTCTTGGTCATGATCACTTGTGGTTGTTGAATCACAACCACTAGAGTTAACGTTGCTTTTGCACATGGATTCTTCAACACTGGCTTCCGGTGAAGATCTCTTGCTGCTTCTAACAACAAAGCCACTGCATGAAGTTTTCTCAGGCTCGTCACTGCCGGGTAATCCCAACCTCAATTCTGTGGCCTTGAGATTCAGCTCCATTTCTTGATGAGCCTCTTATAATACACACACAATAATGTTGTTCTTATAATTAATACCTACAACTTCAGCTTCAATTCCAAATCCAAACGTTGTTGAGTTCTGATTTCTGATTCTTTTGGAAGGAGAGATTTGTGATTATGAATATGGGAATAGAAATGAATTGAGATGGAAGATGGTAGCTCATCAATTTTATAGCAACGTGTTAGTGTGAGGGACGATAAATGTAGCTAACTTATTATCGTGGTGCATGAATTGCGCACACCGAGGAGGGAAGGATAAACCCACCATGTACCGTCACACGCGCTTCCTCACCCACCAATCACATCTTGACAAGGCATTGGATGTGGGGTCCACTCCACACGGTCGAGGTTAGCGCGCTGACAGATGTGACTGTCTGTCACATGAAGGACACGGAAAAGCAGGTTGTCTCCGTGAGAGGGGACAACAGAGGAACAAGCACAGCCAGTGATAGCGAAGGTTATGGGCCATCAATGAACGGCTCCGATTTGGGCTTGGGCTTGTGGGCTTTTTGGAGCGTTGGATTCGAATGGGAACAAGCACATGTGACAGGGGTGCGGGTCCCAGGTTGGTGTCCTTGATTGGATTGGCATGACCATGTGGATGTTGGCCAGTGGATGCATGACATGTGGGATTTGCATGTGGTATGCTCGCTTCCTCCTTCCTCATCCTACCTCTATGATCTAACCATATAAAAGGCATTCATTCAAAATCCTGTGGAATAGGTCAATCTCAAGAATACATCTTAATTTGATATATACGCTGGTATACTAAATCAAACATGTATATAATCGATGATACAAATCTAGTAGTTTAACTACAGTTACGAACTTGTAATGCTCAAATCTTCAGAGATCGATGTGTCAAAATACTTAGATGTTTGATGAAACTAGTATCTAAGAATCTGTTCCTTAATTATGTTATAAAGAACTATGCAAATTTATATGTATTTTGATACATTATACAAACCTAGTAGCAAGATATCAATACTAAAACAATATTTTGAAATAAGAAGACAAGTAAATTTTTGGAGAAAATAATGGGATCGAGAAAGAACAGTGCTATCAACAAAGTTTAATTAAAACAACGTGATGCAGTATATATTTAGCGCTGGACGTGTACCAAGCTCATTCAAGGGCATAAAAGATCTTCATAAATTGGCAATGGTGGCTTGCAAGCTCAGTGATAAATGTACCCAAACCCCCCACCAACAGTGAGGATATTCTGATATTCAGGTTCAATTCCACCTTCTTCACATTAATTTGCGCACCTTCACCAAATACTGAACACAAATTAAGTCGCCAGTTATTGTTTGGACCACACAGCAAAAGCACAATCGCGTCTCTCCAAAAACAACTCATAGACATGCATCATAGATGTTAGGTTCGTTCGCAAATAGGAGTATAAAGGTTGGCCAACGGGCATACAAAAGTATCAAATAACGGGGTTAAAATATATACCTCATATCAAATAAAAATATGATTAAAATATTATTTAAAAAAGTGCGAATAACTATTTTTTTATAAACTAACTTTTAAAAAGTAAATTAAACTCATAAAAATTATTATTCATACAAGTCTTATAAAAAATATTTTACAGGACATCGTCCTTTTCTGGACGCAAGTCACTTCACTTCTGACGCAACGATGCATGTACTCAATTCTCCCATCAAGCTAAGTTAATTGAAATATATGTTGGTTTCACTGTGTGTCAACTATCGCTTGCACTAGGAATCAAATGGCTTGGCAAACAAAAGCGTTTCTTCACGAGTTGCCTTTTAATTAATTAAAACTACTAACGTGTGGGATTTAACTCAAAACCAAATTTAGAAAAATTTGTTTCCTTTCGTTCCCTGCTTTTTAAAATCTAAATAATAAAAATAAATATGCACGTACAGGAATAGAGAAGCCAAATGTCATATATGGTTGAGAACTTTATACATAATAAAGGTTGAGAATCCAAAAAGAATGTGATTAAAGTAATGTAATGTTTTGGAAGCATAGAAGTGGCAGCTACCAGCTAGCGTGGCAATGTGGCTTTTTATGAAAGCACACACGAGCGATGTATTTAAGTGTGATGGTGAAATATTGTGGGTCTTAAGCCACACGTGGGTGATAGGATTGGAGGCTTTAGATGTTAAAGGAGGTAGGGAAGGAAGGCCCAAGTTTAAGTTTGATGGCTAAAGGGTTAGTCCCCACTCCCACACCCTCGTTGCTTCCTTGTTCCCCAAGAATTCAATGTGATTGATTGTTTCGGCCATACATTGGCCACGAAATGCTATCAATGCGCCTTCTTTTAAGATATCATCAACAGCTAGCTCAGACAATTAAGCATGGATGTAATACAAGTCCACCTTTCATTTGACCTCAACTGTTACATAAAGTTAGCATGTTCTCTTTCGATACTCTACGTTTTACATATCATATTTACTTCAAAATTATTTCATGCATTATTATACCCATCATTTATAATCCCTCTTTTAACCTATATTTGAAGAGGGATGGAAATATTTGGATAGATAATCAGATTTTATTTGAAAGTATAAAATTTAACATTAATATATAATTTTTAATGTATTAATTTTTAATTTGTAAAAATTAGCTATACATAATTTTTATTATGTTTTATTAGGTATACATTACAACGTACTTTTTATTTTAAATAAAAATTAAAACATAAAATTAAAATAATAAATACAAATATCTGTAATTTAAAATTAATAAAAACAATTTTTAAAATAATTAAAAATTAATTTCATAATATAAGTAATTATATTTGAAACAAAAAATAAAAGTTTAACATAATTTTTTATACAATTTATAAAGTTTAAAAGCTATGAAAATATTATTTGCTGTAAACTCCAGCGTAGCAACTAATGTATTATATGCTGTTAAACTTTAACTATAAAATTAATATCAAGTTAGAAAGTTATTAACAAAATTATAGAATAACAAGATAAAATAAAACAAGTCAAAAAGTTTTTTTATCATAAAAATAATTTGCTAAGGCCCAATTTAGATAAATATACAGAAAAATATTTATAAGAGAAAAATATTTGTATAAAAAATAAATAAAAATTTTCTTGTAAGTTTAAAATAATTTATTTTTTTGTTTTTTAAAATTTATCTCAATTAAATTTTCTAAAATTTGAGAAAATAAAAATTTTTCTTTTATAAGGACTTCTCTATAGATTTATCTAAATCAGGCATAAATAAAATGAACTTGACTAGTACATACTTAAATATATTTTTACTATCATATTTAACTATTAGGACACATGTCAATATACACATAGTTAAACATTTATTTAATAAATTTTTATTACATAATGACTTTTAACATAATTTTGATCATAAAATTATAAAAATAAATTAAAATTTTATTTTGATAAACTGCACCAAAAATTATTAAAATAAACTAAAAAATGATAAAAATAGATTTTTTAATTATTTTCTCATAATTTCTTTCAAATATTTACTTAGTTATTAATTCCTTATTCTTTATGCATCCTCACAAGTAAAAGTTGAGTCACAAGAGAGCTATAAGGTAGAATAATTGCAGTAATTTGGATGGGTTCCTTTAAAGGGATCACGTAAAGATTTATAGAATCTCAACACCAAATCCTTATACGTAACTACCAAGTTATCTTCTCATTAACTTATGACATGGCTTAACGTATTGTCCTTGCTGAGTGTTGCCTTTGACTTCCCACTACAACATATATTTTTGGATGTTGAAGTCAGATTTTGTGTCAAACCAACAACCAAAATGTGGGAATTGTGATACATGCAGAAGTAGCATATTAAAGTTGACCATAGAAAATCATTTTCATTGACGAACAAATGAAAAATGTTAATTTTGGTCGATGGCTCTTTCACGAAACGGGGTTAAGTTCCCCCCCCCCCCCCCAGTTTCGTAGAAATGCATTGGTCAAAGGGCATTGCTACGTGTGACTCTGTCTATCATTCAAAGCTATGCGATGCCTTCGTGCCTCTTGCTTTCAGCTGTCCTTTTTACTCTCTATCAGACACATTTAATTTTTTTACATTACTTCCTCTCAAGAGATCAAGTTGTCCTCCAAAAAAATGTGTTCAAAAGTACTACATGTTCACGTCAATATGAATCGTCTTAAGTAGCCATGTTTGTTGGAAAACACCAATCAAAATTTGAAAGCTCCCATTTATAATGTTTATATATCTATTTTATAATATATACATATAACAGAAATATCAATTAATATTTAATCTATAGTTCATATTAATTGAAAAATGCTTTTTTTCTTCACACTCCATTTTCTTATGTGAAATGAGTGGATATGAAAGAGAACGATAAGAAGGAAATAGAAAAGAAAAGAAAAACTCAAACAATGTGATGAAAAATTATAATTACGACGAAAAATGTTAAAATAAACAGATAAATATTAATAAGGCTCTCATTGATTAAAAAATTAAAAATATTTTTATAAAATAATAATAATATATTTTTCTGTAAAATTTAATAATTTTTTTTATTCCCTAACTAGTACTTAGCAAGACCCAAATAAATAATTTATCCGTTCTTTTTTGTTCTAACATTTAAATTTTCATATAAGAATTAAGATAGTAATTAGTATTTTAAATTTTATAATAAATTAATATTTAACTTTTTATTATATCCTTCATCTATTACACTGTATTTGTTTTTATTTATTCGTTCAAAGAGAATTTTTTTTCTATTTATTTGTGCATGTGAAAGTTTAAAGTAATATTAATTGTTGTTTTTTATTATTATTATTAATGTCCTTTTTCGTATAAAATTTTTATACTATTTTAGTATTCTAAATTAAAAAAATGTATTGATAAATGATAAATTGAAAATTTGACAAATTAATTCCAACAAAAATGATTGAATTTATTTGCCCGTATAATTTCTTTTCTCTCTGTACAAATAAATAAAAATAAGAGCAGCATTAATTATACCTTTTATTTATCATCCTATATCAAATAGATATTAATCATTATTAAAGATAAACTGAAAAACATTAATCATTCAGTAATTTTATAAAATAATAATGAAAAATAAATAAAGTAAAACAAGTATAAGAGAAAGTAGGTGTTAAAAAAAACTATTTAACGTTACATTTGAAATAATTGAAAACTCCCTGTTTTCATTCTATTAAAAATATTTGTGGTTTTTTTTTTTATAATTTTAC